GGTACTCAGGAGTCCAGAAAGGTAAGAATGGAGTGGGCATCTTGGTGGATAGGGAACTTAGAGCGTCTGTGATTGAGGTTAGATGAGTGAATGATAGATTGATGATTATTAAGTTGGTGGTTGGAGAGTGCACCCTAAACGTCGTTAGAGCCTATGTGCCGCATGCGGGCCTAGATGAGGAGGTCAAACGACGCTTCTGGGAGGGGTTAGATGAGATTGTGCGCCATGTTCCGCCTGCTGAGAAGCTATTCATAGGAGGGAATTTCAATGTGCATATTGGGTCGACCGCAGGTGGTTGTGGCGAGGTGCATTGAGGCTTCGGTTTTGGGGAGAGGAACAGAGGAGGTACATCGCTGTTAGACTTTGCTAAGGCTTTTGGGTTGATGATTGCGAACTCTAACTTTTAGAAGAGGGAGGGGCATTTGGTTACTTTTCAAAATACGGTGGCGAAGACTCATATTGATTATCTCCTCCTCAGGAGGTGTAACAGAGGGCAATGCAAGGATTGCAAGGTGATTCCAGGTGAGATACTAGCGACACATCATAGGCTCTTGGTGATGGACGTTGGTATTATGTTAAAGAGGAGGAAAAAGTCTACTCGAGGAAGACCGAGAATCAGGTGGGTAGCCTTAACTAAGGATAAAGTCCAAGAGTTGGAGATGAGGTTATCGGCTATGGGAGCGTGGAGGAGCAGTGGTGACACGAGCACTATATGGTCAGCGACAACAGACTGTATTAGGGAGTCTGCGAGAGAGGTGTTAGGGGTCTCGACGGGCGTCTCTGGTGGGCACAAAGGAGACTGGTGGTGGAATGAAGAGGTCCAAGGTAAAGTGGAAGCGAAGAAGGCGGCGTACCTGAAGTTAGTGGGGAGCATAGGTGAGGAGGAGAGGCGAGCATGCATGGACAGGTATAAGGTAGCTAGGAAGGAGGCTAAGCTGGCGGTCACGGAGGCTAAGACTGCGGCTTATGGTCGTATGTACGAGGAACTGGGAAAAAGGCGGGGAAAAGAAGTTATTCTGGCTGGCCAAGTTGAGAAAGAGGAAGGCTCGGGATTTGGACCAAGTGAGATGCATTAAGGATGACGATGGTAGAGTATTGATGGAAGATGCCCAGATTAAGAGGAGATGGTAGACTTACTTTCATAAACTTCTGAATGAAGAAGGGGATCATGATATTATGCTAGGCAAATTGGAGCATTCCGAGAGTCACCGTGACTTTGGGTACTGCAGGGGTATCGAGGTTGAGGAGGTCGTGGGAGCTATGCATAAGATGAGTAGGGGCAGAGCGACCGGGCCAGACGAGATTCTGGTGAAATTTTGGAAGTGTGTGGGGAGAGCAAGTTTGGAGTGGTTGACTAGGTTGTTTAATGTTATTTTTAAGGCGGAGAGGATTTTGGATGAGTGGAGGTGGATTACGGTGGTTCCATTGTATAAGAACAAAGGTGATATCCAGAGTTGTAACAATTATAGGGGTATCAAATTACTGAGTCATACCATAAAAGTGTGGGAGATGGTGGTTGAAGCGGAGGTGAGGATAACAATGTCTGTATCCGACAACCAGTTCGGGTTTATGCCGGGACGTTCGACTACAGAAGCTATACACCTTGTTAGAAGGTTGGTGGAACTGTACAGAGAGAGGAAGAAGGATCTTCACATAGTGTTTATTGACCTAAAGAAAGCGTATGACAAGGTTCCTAGATAAGTTCTGTGGAGATGCCTGGAGGCAAAAGGTGTGTCGGTTCCCTAAATTGTGGCGATTAAGGACATGTATGATGGAGCTAAGACTCGGGTTAGGATAGTAAGAGGCAACTCTGAGCATTTTTCGGTTGTAATGGGGTTACACCAAGGTTCTGCGCTCAGTCCGTTCTTATTCGCCCTGGTGATGGACGCGTTAACACACCATATTCAAGGGGAGGTACCATGGTGCATGCTATTCGCCGATGACATAGTTCTGATTGATGAGTTGCGAGCCGGGGTTAACGAAAGGCTGGAGGTTTAGAGACAGTCTCTTGAGTCTAAGGGTTTCAAGCTAAGCAAGACGAAGATGGAATACCTGGAGTGTAAGTTCAGCGCTGAGCCGGGGGAAGTGGACGTAGATGTGAGGCTTGGATCACAGGTCATTCCGACTAGAGGCAGCTTCAAGTACCTTGGTTCGGTTATCC